CTAGAACAGAACTAGAACTAAAACTGAGCTAAACTAGAATTAGAACTGAACTAATACTGTGCTAGAACTGAACTAGAATAAAACTAAAACAGAACTAGAACTGAACTAGAAATACAAAATATAAATTTTAACTTACCTTTATTACAGGACTCTCCAGATTAAGCCACTCAATTACCAAAGAACTTTTCATTTTATTTTAAAATTTTTTGCTTGAAATATTCAAACATTTGCGCCATTTAAACAAATTTTCTTTTTTCTTAAAACTACGCTAAATAATTGATTTTTTCTTTTAAATTTCATTATTAATATTTTTACTATATTCGATTTCATAAAGCACTATTATACACTTTTTAATTAAAAAAATTTTAATTCCGTTTAATTTTGATTTTTGTTTCATATCCGGCGCTTGTCATTTTCATTATATTTAGCCACAACTTCCCTTTAATTTACATGTTACATTTTCCTTTGTATGGAAATTGTTTTTCGTTTAAATAAAGATTTTTCTATTTCTTTACCGTTTCGCTTAAAATGTTAAACTAATTTATGAAAATTCTTTTTCGATTTTATTGAATATAAAGAAAATATTTTTAATTTGTTTTTTCCAGTAAGAGGGATACACGGAAGAATAGAAATCGACGAATAAACAGTAGAGGACAAAACAAAATAGGCAAATTAATAATGTTGTTTTAATGCTAACAAAATATTGAAAAATATTTTTATTAATTAGGAACATATTTAACCTATTTCAACCTGATGTCTCTAATTTTAGAAATAGAGAAATATTTTTATATCTTTAAGATTTGTTTATCTTTTGGCCATCACTGTATTATTTTGACTGTAGCAGTATTTATTTTTTGAATTGTACACAAATTTTTAAATATCACGACGTCATTATTAAATGTATTTTGGTTTATTTTTTATGATTTGCAATTGTTTAACAATAAAAATAATTAAAAACAAAAACAAAATATAAATCACTTAAAATTGTTTAAATAAACAAATAAAATAAAAACAATAAAAAAGTTTAGAAAAACTGGTGAAAGTGATATTTTTGAAACTCTACTCGAAAGTTTTGAAATCTTTAGATTCTTCTTAAATCTTCTTAGGATCTGTGTTTATATGGTTGAAATCCCTAATCCAGCTATTTTATGGATTCTGAAAATTAGACTCCGATCCAAAATGTAAAACCCTTTTGATAAGATGGCTTCAAATTTAGTATTTTTTCATTATAGATTTTGAATTCCACAAGAGCATTATTGAACTTATACTGCTTCAAAAAATTATGTAGGGTACATCCCATAGTTCATAAAAAATAAAACAATAGGATGTAGACCAATCATAAAAAGTATCCCCGGGGCGAGAGATATTTTAAATTCAATTTCACTTAAGATAAATAAAAATTTAAAAGAATTTACTTAAATTATATCGAAAAAAAACTACAACAAACATTTTTTAAAATAGAAACTTCTAAAACTGAAAAGCGATAGATAGATAGATAGATAGATAGATAGATAGATAGATAGATAGATAGATAGATAGATAGATAGATAGATAGATAGATAGATAGATAGATAGATAGATAGATAGATAGATAGATAGATAGATAGATAGATAGATAGATAGATAGATAGATAGATAGATAGATAGATAGATAGATAGATAGATAGATAGATAGATAGATAGATAGATAGATAGATAGATAGATAGATAGATAGATAGATAGATAGATAGATAGATAGATAGATAGAATAGATAGATAGATAGATAGATAGATAGATAGATAGATAGATAGATAGATAGATAGATAGATAGATAGATAGATAGATAGATAGATAGATAGATAGATAGATAGATAGATAGATAGATAGATAGATAGATAGATAGATAGATAGATAGATAGATAGATAGATAGATAGATAGATAGATAGTAAGGGTCCATGAGGATTTCGTCGGAAGAGGCTTTTGACACTTGGATACCATATTTCCCATGAAAGTCGACTTTTCGACTTTTTGTATTTAATGAAAGTCGATTTTTCGACTTTTTTCATTTAATTAAAAGTCGACTTTTCGACTTTTTGTATTTTATGAAAAGTCGATTTTTCGACTTTTTTCATTTAATTAAAAGTCGACTTTTAGACTTTTCGACTATAAGTATTTTATAAATAGTCGACTTTTCGACTTTTTTCGACTTTTCGACTTTTTCCGACTTCGACTTTTTTCGATTTTTCGACTATTTCGACTTTTTGACTATTTTCGACTTCTTTCGACTTTTTTCCGACTATTTTTTGACTTTTTTCGAGTTTTTCCGACTATTTTAGAGTTTTTTACTTTTTTTCCACTTTTTTAAAATTTTCGACTATTTTTGACTTGTTTCTACAATTTTCGAGTTTTCGACTTTTTCCGACTTTTTTCGACTTATTCCGACTTGTCGACTTTTCGACTTTTTTCGACTTTATTCGACTTTTTTCGACTTATCGACCTTTTTCGACTTATCGACTTTTCGACTTTTTTCGACTTATATTAACAAAGTCGACTTTTCGACTTTTTTCACAGACGATAGTCGAGTTATCGACTTTTTTGGAACAAAATAGTTGACTTCGACTTTTCGACTTTTTTAGACAATAAGTCGATTGTTCGATTATTCGAAAGTCGATTTATAGAACCCTAATCACAATAGACACGAAGTTAAGTTATTACTTTATTTTTTCTTGTTGCCACATATTTCAAAAATAATTTATAAAATTTTCAAACGATATAATCAAATTGTAAACAATCAGAAACGTATTGTTTACATTTTTATTTAATATTTACACCAAGTCTAAACTACATTATTTACAAAACAAATATGAAACGGTTAATAAAATTGAAAAATATGTTGCTTATGGCGCCATCTATATGTCAAAAATAATTGATACAGACTATGACACACCCTGTTGCCGCAAACGCCCTTCCACCATAATAACAACTTTGCTAATCTTTTAGTTACTGTCAAAAAATAAAACACATCGTCGGCGTTTTTTTTAACAATTGAAGATTTTACGGGTGTAATATTAATAAATTAGTGAAAAAATCTTACAAATATTGTGTAAATTCAACAAAAAAGTGTATTTCCTATAAAAATCTAAAAGTTTCAATGTGTAATATAAAAAATTAAAATGCCACCAACCATAAATAGTGCCGCCGCTCCAACTGAAAAAAGGCCACCAAGACAAACCGAAAGAAAGTAAGTTTTTAGCGTGAAAAATAAAAATTTCTTATTAGTCTTATAAATCCTAATTACTTTTAGATCGGAAATTATATGTCGCGTTAAATATGGCAATAATTTGCCCGATATACCGTTCGATTTAAAATTTCTTCAGTATCCTTTCGGTAGCCACCGTTTCGTACAGTATAACCCCACTTCGTTGGAACGCAATTACAAATATGAAGTATTAACCGAACATGATCTGGGCGTTACCATTGATTTAATCAATCGTGATCTTTATCAAGCAGATCCTTATGCACAACTTGATCCGGCAGATGAGAAACTTCTGGAAGAAGATGTTCACACACCACACGATTCAGTGCGTTCCAAGCAGCATTCTCGCAGTGTTTCTTGGTTGCGTAAGTCAGAATATATTTCCACTGAACAGACACGTTTCCAACCTCAGAACTTGGAACAAATTGAAGCCAAAGTGGGTTATAACGTCAAGAAATCGTTGCGTGAGGAAACTCTATACTTGGATCGTGATGCTCAAATTAAGGCCATTGAGAAAACATTTGAAGATTCTAAGAACGAAATCACCAAACATTACTCCAAACCTAATGTGGTGCCCGTGGAAATGTTTCCTGTCTATCCCGATTTCAAAAACTGGAAATATCCTTGTGCTCAAGTTATATTCGACAGTGATCCCGCACCAGCTGGCAAAAATGTACCCGCTCAATTGGAGGAAATGTCTCAGGCTATGATTCGTGGTGTGATGGACGAAAGTGGTGAACAATTTGTCGCCTACTTCTTGCCCACTGAGGGTACTTTGGAAAAGAGACGCATTGATTTTGCCGATCAAGTGCTCTACAAGGATGACGAAGACTATGAATATAAAATTGCTCGTGAATACAATTGGAATGTTAAGAGTAAGGCTTCGAAGGGCTACGAAGAAAACTACTTCTTTGTTATGCGTCACGATGGTGTCTACTACAATGAGCTGGAGACACGTGTGCGTCTTAATAAGAGGCGTATGAAGGTGGGTCAACAACCCAGCAATACTAAATTGGTTGTTAAGCATCGTCCCTTGGATGCTAATGAGCATCGTATGCAACGTTATCGTGAACGTCAATTGGAACCTGCTGGCGATGAGGATGATGAAGAAGAAATGGAAATTGAGGAGGAGGAAGAGGATGATATACCACAAACTGTGCAACCACAACAACAGCAAACAGAACAAGATGAAGGCAGTAAAGATGAAGAGCAGACACAACGTGAGCGTAAATCACGTTCTAGATCTAAATCGCACGCCAAGTCCCAATCAAGATCTCGTTCACGTTCTGGTTCAGCTTCTGGTTCTGGCTCGGATAGATCTGGTTCTGCTTCGGGTGGCTCCAGAGCCTCTTCACGCTCGCGTTCTCGTTCCAAATCCAAATCACACAGTCGTTCTCGTTCAAAATCTGGCTCACGCTCTCGTTCACGTTCTGCCTCTGGATCACGTTCACGATCCGGTTCTCGCTCTCGTTCTGGCACTAAATCACCCTCCAAATCACGTTCTGCATCACCTGCAGGCTCACAAAAATCCGGCTCACGTTCTCGCTCTAATTCGCGTTCATCTCGTTCAAAATCACGCTCAAGATCCCGTTCTAAAAGCGGTTCTCGCTCCCGTTCTCGTTCACGCAGCGCTTCTGGTTCCCGTTCACCTTCACGTTCTCGCAGTAATACACCCAGCGGTTCTGGCAGTGGCACTGCCTCTGGTAGCGGTTCTGAAGCCGAAGATTAAACTGACAGTATAATCAAGGTATTTCTTTAAATGTATGAAACATAATGAAATGATTTTTATTTACACACAAATTTAATTGAGAAAAATTGATTCTTAAAAAAATAAACTATTGACAAACTGTACTACGCTATTTGCCGCCCTTCTTCTTCTCTGGCAATTCTAGAGAAATTACACTTAATCGGGTGTTTGAGGAAAGTTTCACTTCGGACGCGTCAGATAGTGACGAACGAGAAGTAAACATTTCTGAAAATAAATCAAATAACAAAACAATCACTGTTTATTCTCAATAATAAAAACTAAAATTGTAAAGTTTTTAACGATAAATAGGTAGATAGATAGATAGATAGATAGATAGATAGATAGATAGATAGATAGATAGATAGATAGATAGATAGATAGATAGATAGATAGATAGATAGATAGATAGATAGATAGATAGATAGATAGATAGATAGATAGATAGATAGATAGATAGATAGATAGATAGATAGATAGATAGATAGATAGATAGATAGATAGATAGATAGATAGATAGATAGATAGATAGATAGATAGATAGATAGATAGATAGATAGATAGATAGATAGATAGATAGATAGATAGATAGATAGATAGATAGATAGATAGATAGATAGATAGATAGATAGATAGATAGATAGATAGATAGATAGATAGATAGATAGATTTATAGATAGATAGAGAGATAAGTTATTTTCACAAAATGTTTGAAAACAATCTAAAATCGTCTCCATTCCCTAATCACTACTTAATTTCATTACTTCAAATTACATCTATAACAAAAACCAAACTACTCACCCTTTGAAGAACTCATTGACATGCCATCATAGGAAGTCTCACTACGCCACGATATTGTACTTCTAGACTTTTGCATCATATGCGGCATCTTCAAGCCGCGATTTAATAATTGACGAGCTATTTTCGGACCCAATTCATCATCTGCATAAGCTAAATCACCCAATTGATTTAAAACATCTAAATTTCTTTTCTCTAATTCCCTAAGATCCAAATCACGATTATATAATTCCAAAAATTCACTACTTATAGCTCTTTGCTTTAGAGCCTTGAGAGCGGTCTTAAGTTCTCTATCGGCACGAACTAGTTTATTTCTTTGATCCAATAACTCTTTCTTAAGACGTGCTATGAAGTCAGCATTATCGTTTCTAGAAGTTGTAAAGAAAATATAAGTTACTTCTTTATTTTAAATGGAATTTTGAATAAGCAAACCTTTTCTTTACTTCCTTTTGCAAGATATTACCCAATTCCTCTTTTTCTTTATACGACTCATTAGTTTTTATTTCTAAATCTTGTAGTTCTTGGCGCAAATTTCTTAAAGTATTCAAGGAGGAACAGTAATTGATTTGTAAAGATTTTAATTCGGTAGTAGCTTCCTCTGAAAGTTGTTTAGAGAAGAAATTATTTATTGTTGTTATAAGAGTGGAATAACTCACCTCCCTCCTGTTGTTTTTGTACATTTTTACGATAGGCATCATTACAGTTATTCAATAAAGCTAAAGTATTCTGTAAAGCTTCTATTTCCTTTTCAGCTTTCAGAACTTTTTCATTTAACTCATTACCTTCATCCAAAAGCATTTGCTTTTCCTGAGCCGTTTCTACTCTAAGTTGAGTGGCTGTTATTAGACTACCATCTTCATTTACCCCCAGTAGCTTAGAGGTCAATTCAAATCTAGCCTTAACTGCTTCTATATGTTTTCTTCTCTCCCCTATATCGGCTCTCAAAGTGCTCAATTCTTCTTGCAAATGTTTACGTTTTAAATTTAGCAAATCCGTTTGAGACTTTATCTCTATCATGCGATCTTTAATGGTGCGATTTAAATGCATGCGATGTTTTACCAGATTATAAGTGCCTTCTTCACATTGATTTATTTCATTTTCAAATTCATGAGCTTTCATTTTCAATATGCTTAGCTCTACTATAAGTTCTTGATTGCGTCTGGTTTCTTCTTTCACCCTCTTAATACCACCTTCACAATAGACTTGAGCTTCTTTGATTTTATAGTTCACTTGATCCAAACGGGTCATATCGTTGTTATAGGTTAAAGTCAATTTCCGCATATCATCATCCAGTTTTTTATTTTGCATTTGTGTGGCCTGCACATTTTTCTGCAGTTTGTTATAACGTTCCTCTAATTCCGCTAGATAATCTTGATTTCTTTGCTCGACCACAGGATCTATAACACCTCCCTGTAGTATTACTATACGTCTTTCTAAGTTGAGGATTTTAAAGGACTGCAATATATTTTTTATATAAATTTTTTTTAATTTATACATTTGATTATTATAACCCACCAATTCATAATTGTTTTCCACATGTTTTTTAATATCTTTTTCCAAAAGTTGATTATTTTTGGACACTGCTAATATATTGGAATTTAAACCACGATTATTAACCTGTTTTAAAAATCATTTTTAACTTCTGTATAAACTTTTAAATTTGTATAAAACTTACCTGTAGACTAACGCTATCTTCTTTAAATTTAACCAATTGTTGTTGCGAACGATATATTAAACCATTTATACGATCTGTTTCCTTATTAACTTCTCTTTGTGCCTTATCCTCCACATCCATTAATTCTTCCAAAACTTGCAGTCTTTGTTGAGCATTTAAATTTTTATTATTCATGGCATTAAAACGATCCTCTAGCTTTCCTATTACCACTTCAGAATGCTCTATTTCTATTAAATAATCTGATTTTTCTTTAGACAAACGACGATTTTGTGCACGTTGTTGTTGTACCCGATTGGCCAAATTTTGCAATTCTTTAGTTATAAGATCCACCTATAAGTATTCAAATATTAAAACAATAACTCATTTTCTCATATTATAATAATACCTCCTGAGTTTTCAACATTATCATATCAGCCAGTCTTTGTATTTGTTCTTTCATATCAGAAGTTTCTGAATTTAACAATTCAATGGCCTCCTCCACCTCTCTATTATTTTCTATGATTTCATTTAGTTTATTATCTTGCATTTTCAATTCCTTGGCTTTCAGTTCCACTTTTAGACGACATTCCATTAATGCAATTTCACTATTCCTTATATCTTTTTCTCTTTGAGACATTTTTTGAGCTGCCAACTTCCAGGTTTCCACCATTTGACGTCTTTCTGCATGAGCTGTACGATACAAATTGGCCGTACACTCTAGATTACATTCCAGAGTCTTCTGATCATCATACATATTTATTAGCTTTTTGCGTTGACGTTCAATTTCATCATTTAGCTTAAGGCGTTTATAATTTTGTTGTTTAGCTCTTAATTGATCATCTTTATAGTACATTTCGATCAGCTGAAATCCCTTGTTACCATCCTCCATCGCTTGGCGCCATTCCACCAAGGCCGTTTTAGCCCATTTAATGCGATTGGTTAGATTATCGATATTATGTTTACGTTTGCACATTTCATCTGTAATTTAATGTATAATTTATGGAAAATTCAGTACCTATAGCTAGTCTATAGTCTAGTTTGTAATCGAGTCTATAGTTTAGTTTATTGTCTAGTCTATAGTCTAGTCTATAGTCTAGTCTATAGTCTAGTCTATAGTCTAGTCTATAGTCTAGTCTATAGTCTAGTCTATAGTCTAGTCTATAGTCTAGTCTATAGTCTAGTCTATAGTCTAGTCTATAGTCTAGTCTATAGTCTAGTCTATAGTATAGTCTATAGTATAGTCTAGTCTATAGTCTAGTCTATAGTCTAGTCTATAGTCTAGTCTATAGTCTAGTCTATAGTCTAGTCTATAGTCTAGTCTATAGTCTAGTCTACTGTCTAGTCTATAGTCTAGTCTACTGTCTAGTCTATAGTCTAGTCTATAGTCTAGTCTACTGTCTAGTCTATAGTCTAGTCTATAGTCTAGTCTATAGTCTAGTCTATAGTCTAGTCTATAGTCTAGTCTATAGTCTAGTCTATAGTCTAGTCTATAGTCTAGTCTATAGTCTAGTCTATAGTCTAGTCTAGTCTAGTCTAAGTCTAGTCTATAGTCTAGTCTATAGTCTAGTCTAGTCTATAGTCTAGCCTATAGTCTAGTCTATAGTCTAGTCTATAGTCTAGTCTATAGTCTAGTCTATAGTCTAGTCTAGTCTATAGTCTAGTCTAGTCTATAGTCTATAGTCTAGTCTATAGTCTAGTCTATAGTCTAGTCTATAGTCTAGTCTATAGTCTAGTCTATAGTCTAGTCTATAGTCTAGTCTATAGTCTAGTCTATAGTCTAGTCTATAGTCTAGTCTATAGTCTAGTCTATAGTCTAGTCTATAGTCTAGTCTCTATAGTCTAGTCCATAGTCTAGTCTTGTCTAGTCCATAGTCTAGTCTATGTCTAGTCTACAGTCTAGTCATAGTCTAGTCTATAGTCTAGTCTATAGTCCTAGCTATAGGTCTATTAGTCTAGTCTATAGTCTAGTCAATAGTCTAGTCTATAGTCTAGTCTATAGTCTAGTCTATAGTCTAGTCTATAGTCTAGTCTATAGTCTAGTCCATATGTCTAGTCTATAGTCTAGGTCATATAGTCTAGTCTATTAGTCTAGTCTATAGTCTAGTCTATAGTCTAGTCTATAGTCTAGTCTATAGTCTAGGTCTATAGTCTAGTCTATAGTCTAGTCTATAGTCTAGTCTATAGTCTAGTTACTGTCTAGTCTATAGTCTAGTCTATAGTCTAGTCTATAGTCTAGTCTATAGTCTAGTCTATAGTCTAGTCTATAGTCTAGTCTATAGTCTAGTCTATAGTCTAGTCTATAGTCTAGTCTATAGTCTAGTCTATAGTCTAGTCTATAGTCTAGTCTATAGTCTAGTCTATAGTCTAGTCTATAGTCTAGTCTATAGTCTAGTCTATAGTCTAGTCTATAGTCTAGTCTATAGTCTAGTCTATAGTCTAGTCTATAGTCTAATCTATAGTCTAGTCTATAGTCTAGTATATAGTCTAGTCTATAGTCTAGTCTATAGTCTAGTCTATAGTCTAGTCTATAGTCCAGTCTATAGTCTAGTCTATAGTCTAGTCTATAGTCTAGTCTATAGTCTAGTCTATAGTCTAGTCTATAGTCTAGTCTATAGTCTAGTCTATAGTCTAGTCTATAGTCTAGTCTATAGTCTAGTCTGTAGTCTAGTCCATAGTCCTAGTCTTTAGTCTTTAGTCTAGTCTACAGTCTAGTCTATAGTCTACTCTATAGTCTAGTCTTTAGTCTAGTCCATAGTCTAGTCTTTAGTCTAGTCTACAGTCTAGTCTATAGTCTAGTCTATAGTCTAGTCTATAGTCTAGTCTATAGTCTAGTCTATAGTCTAGTCTATAGTCTAGTCTATAGTCTAGTCTATAGTCTAGTCTATAGTCTAGTCTATAGTCTAGTCTATAGTCTAGTCTATAGTCTAGTCTATAGTCTAGTCTATAGTCTAGTCTATAGTCTAGTCTTTAGTCTAGTCTATAGTCTAGTCTATAGTCTAGTCTATAGTCTAGTCTATAGTCTAGTCTATAGTCTAGTCTGTAGGCTAGTCTATAGTCTAGTCTGTAGGCTAGTCTATAGTCTAGTCTATAGTCTAGTCTGTAGGCTAGTCTATAGTCTAGTCTGTAGGCTAGTCTATAGTCTAGTCTATAGTCTAGCCTATAGTCTATTGTATAGTATATAGTCTAGTTTATATATATATAGTCTATAGTCTAGTCTATAGTCTAGTCTATAGTCTAGTCTATAGTCTAGTCTATAGTCTAGTATATAGTCTAGTATATAGTCTAGTCTGTAGGCTAGTATATAGTCTAGTCTAGCATATAGTCTGGTCTATAGTCTAGTCTATAGTCTAGTCTATAGTCTAGTCTAGTTTATAGTCTACTCCATAGTCTAGTTTATAATCCAGTCTATAGTCTTATCAATAGTCTAGACTATGAATCTATAAGCCTAGTCTATAGTGTAGTCTATGGTCTAGTCTATAGACTAGTTTTTCCATGCCTCATCTTATACTTTACTTACTCTCTGTAGTCTCAATAAATTTTTTAAAATTCTGCCACTCTTTGCCCACATTTTTCAGATCCTCTTTAAGTTTAGAGTGCTCTCGTAAAGCGATTTTATGTAGATGGGCCTCAGTTCTTACCTCCGATTGGAAAGCCTCCAAAAGTTTCTTAGAAAATATCAAAATTTGATTAAAATTTTAACAATTCAGTATATTCTCTACCCACCAAATTATGATTAATGGTCTCTTCAGCATTTGTAGAATGTTGCTGCAATTTCTCCAATCTCTCTTCCGTTTCCTGTTGATGTTCGATTAACTGTTCCTTTTTCTCTTTTAATTCCGCTAAAGTCTGTAAAATCAATTGATTTTCTTTATTGGCCATGGGCATAGCGGATTTGGTATTCCAGTGCATGGCCTCCATAGCATTTTTAATGATTTCAGCATCCATTTTTTTCAATTAAATTTGTTGGGAATTTTCCTTGTGAAAAATATATTTTAAAATATTTTTTTACACTTTCTCTGACAGTGATTTGCTTATGATTTTTTTATTGTATTGTATTGAAATGAAACGTTTTATCAATATAACACAGGTTAACTATAGTTACTATAAATTATTTTGTATTTATAACCGTTAGAGCGTTTCATAACAACCGTTATTATCGTACTTAAAGTAGCAACAAGTAAGTTTATTGGCAAAATAGGGGTTATTTTTAAATGAAATAAATTTATACGATTAGAGTTAAAAATTTAGGTTAAAAACCATTTTTGATCCATGAAATCATTTTTTTATACCTATGTAAATTTTCTGAAAAAATTAATGGGTTCGACTGGGTAATAATGTGTTAGTTCAGATACCTAATTTAGTTTGTAACTCAAAAAAATACTTGTTAATTTTCTAAGACGATTACGTTATGTCCGTCCGTCAGTCCTTGTAATCAAACTATAGGTCTCAATGTTGAAGTCAATACGATTTGGTAAACATGTTACCTCCGGCCCAAGGACGAACCCAATTTTCTTAATGAACAGTTATCATTTAACACTGACTTGAACGTCCATAACTCAATTCTAAACATATCCTCCAAAATTTATGAGGTGCAGCCCATATGTGACCCAAGTATGACTAAAATTGCTTACTTGTTTCTTCCTAAAAAGTATGTCTGTTACCTTACCTAAAACGGCGTTTTTTATTCCAACTATTTTGTTATTTCATTTGTAAAACATCTAAATATTAATCACAGACCCACAAAAGTACACTAAATACTTAGACTCATTAGAATCGAGCCATGCTCTCCATCTGTTTGTTGAAAGCACTATAGGATCCGAATGGGAAATGCTAGAAGGCTGGATATTTATATCTATTAGTGCATTATGTTTGGCATTGAAAATGAGCAATATCAGTGCGCGATTTCTATTGACTAGACCATAGAATGGTCCCATAGACTAAATCATATTATAAACTTGTCAATAGAATAGTTCAACGAATAGTCAATCAAGTAGTTCATAGAATGGTCAGTCAGGCAATAAACTAGTCCATATGGTAATCATTAGACTGGTCAATAGACCATAGTATAGTTCATAGACAAATCAATAGCCAAATCCACTAAACTCGTCAACTGACCGATCAATGGATTAGTCAGTCCATAGAGTAATAAACTTGTCAACAAACTACTGTAAGGACAAGTACATAGTCAAGTCAAGTTAGTCAATGGATACAAAAATCGAAAAGTAATTTAGTACTTTAAATCCCAAAAAGTACTCTTATCGTCAAAAGTTAATAGTTTTTATACCCTACACCACTATAGTGGGGTGAGTATTATATGTTTATTCTGATGTTTGTAACACCCAAAAATATTGGTCCTACACCCACCTTAACGTATACCAATCGTTTCAGAATGACTCTGAGTCGAGCTATATCAGTCTGTCCGTCCGTCTGCCTGTCCGTCGGTGTGTCCATGTAAACCTTGTGCGCAGGCTACAGATCGCAATTTTTAAGATAATTGATGAAAATTGGCACATACTCTTCATTTGACCCAAGGACTATTGAAAATGATAAAAATCGGTCTATTATTTCGCATAGCCCCCATACAACCGTACCCCACGAATAGGGCTTTTGAGCTCATAAATATGTTAAATGTTCTTGTACCACTCCAAAAATAAAAGTCTTAATAATACTGCTGATTTTCGAAATGATCGGACCACATATGACCCTATCCCCCTTCAGAAAAAGACTTGATGGTCAAAATTCACTTATAAACACTAATATCACGATGATATTCTGCATAAATAACTTTAATGTAGACATAAATCCCTCTACCAAAATTTATAAGGATAGGACCATATTAACCCCCCGCCCCCATATATCCCCTCTTTTTAAAAATACCTTTTTTTTGTCAACAAATTGTTAAAATATCTCTGAATTAATCACTTGTGTAGGGTATCATACTTGTTTTAGTTTAGTAGTTTAAACTACTACACATAAACAGCAAAGAGGATTCGATTAAATTGCATTTTAGATTAACTAATCTGATTCTAGTTGTACCTTTAACCTCAAACCCTATAGTTATAGAATTGTTTAAAACAAATCGTTTAAAAAATGGAAAAATTAAAAACATTCAATTATTTTAATAATTTACACTTATTTTATTATAACACACTGAACTTAATAAACAATAACTTAAAGTACTAACACAAACATATACATTTTGAGAATACGAACAATTCACAATAAACTATTTGCTGACTGAGAGTTTTCCAAGAAAAATCGCGTTAAATCTCCCTCAATCACATTTAAATCTGGTGTAACCAATTGCGGCGAATACAAACGCATATTTTGCAATCTCTGTGATGGAGACATTGAGCCCTCATTTATAATCTGCTGAGGTGAAAATCCATTAACACCACCAATACCCATTTTATTGCAAGATTCTACCACAATATCATCGATAGTTTTTGTAAGTAAAGCTTGTTGTTCATTTAGAGAAGTCGCCTTTTCATTAATGGCAGCAATTTCATTACTAGCAGGTGAATTATGTGATTGATTGAGGTGATTATCGGTTTGATTTGCAACAGAAGTTTCTAGAAATGCTTTAATAAAATTTTCCGACATATGATCAATGGTATTTTCCTCATTAGGTGGTGGTGGTGAAGATTCTTCTGCTGAAAATGGTTGACACTTGTGAGTGCGTTGTGAGACTTTGTAACGAAAACTTTTTTGACAGATTTCACATTTATAGGGCATAACACCGGTATGAATGCGGGTATGTACTAAAAAAGAGACACGTTGGCGAAAACTTTTGCCTGTTATAAAAGAAAGGGGAAGTTTGAATACAAATTTTAGTTTAAATATGAATTTCCTATACTTACCACAAACTTCACATTTAAATGGCTTTTCTCCACTATGTATCCTTTCATGATTGTGTAAAGTTGAAAGTTCCTTAAAAGCTCGACCACAGGTGGAGCATACATGAGGCTTCTCATCACTGTGATAAAGTAAATGCTTGTGATAGGATTGTTGAAATGTAAAAGTACGAGCACAAAGTTCACAAGTGTATGGCATTTCACCTGGAATATAAAAATTACCTTTCATTTAATAAAATTTTGGGATTAAGTCTACGAAATTATTATAGTATCGCTAAAGGGACTAATATGCTTTAGGTAACCCAAAAAGTAATGTCACTTTCTGAAGATTTTGGATCCATAAAGATCACTTTCACAAAAAACAAAATATGCTTTTAACATAAGTTGTATTTTGTTTCCAAATCAAGGGTTTGTGACACACCTATGAATTTCTGGTTCGATCATTTCGAGATTTGGTTCTATAAACATATAGGTTTGGGATTCCTGAAAGTTTGGCTATAATATCCGAAAAGTGACAGAGAAACTGTAAAAGTCATGTTATTGAAGCTAAAGAAATGTTAACTTCTGCAGAGGATCTTAGTCGATCATATTTTGGCCACACGATCTTTGACATTATCTGGTATATGGGTATTTGTAGAGACTATGTTGCATTAAACGAACCGTAATAATTTTTTCTAGAATAACTCTCAGATATTTTCCTCCTTTCCACTTAGTCATAATAGTGGGAATTTTGGAACCCTACAATATGCATATTTAATAGTCTAAATTACAAGGCCTATAAACAAGTTACTGATAAATATTTTATTTCATTCAATGCTAATTTTTATACTCGTGGTCCTAATATTAAAAATCCTATCACTCTTATTGATATCTGCAAAATAAAATAAAAGCCGCATTCCAAAGTTTTAATCTTTTATAAGATCGTTCGTCCTACTTTAAAAACTTTAGGATTCCGGCCCATAAGTTGAAACTAAATTTCATCTTAGGTCGGATGTGGGTAACGTAATACGAAGTAGACCGATGCTGTCATAATGGTTAGTTAGAAAAAAGATATGTATAAAGGAGGGAAAAGAGTTTTCACAATACAATAATCAATATGACGGCTTAATCACCTATAGGATAACCCTTTGAACTCGGTTAAGCAACTTTTGGAACTCGGGATCATACGTAGGAATTGTTTATCATCTTAGGCTGGATGTAAACTAGCCTCAGTAGAGCAATAGATTTGTTAGTTGGTTGATACATAGTAAGATTATGCTGGGTACCAGGACAACGTGATTTACAGGGGTCAGATCTACACCTTTAGATTATAGACATATTAGAGGTCGTCAAAACCTCCTATCTGTCACTACTATAAACTAATCTCCATAAAGTTCGAAGACTACCAACCGATCTTGGCACAGTGGATTGCAGATTTTCGAAGGCATTATGGCCAAGGTTAAACGTAAAAGAGTATTACTAGGATTGGACAGGAATAATATAAGGACTATAGTAGAAATAATGACCGTTCACTACGCAGTTGAAGCCTTCATAGGTAATTGGGTCAGTAAGAGATTTGTAGTTTGTCTGTCCTAGAACATAGAGCCCTAAAACTAAAATGTATACGACGTGGGTGTAATTAGTCGATCTTCTTGGTTTTATCAGAGGAGTAAACTGGCTATTCAGGTGACGGACCCTTCTCTGCCTATCTTCTCTTTCATCTATTTCACATCTTTCCCTCTTAATATTGTTTTTTTTTTTTAAGGGAATCACAATGGACCCATCGGATCTCCGAGTGGTTACAAACCTTTTAAACTTAATTAGGTCGAGTGTAGATTGTATGAATGAGAAGTATATTGATAACGGAAAATAAAGTATCTCAATGTCTCAACTGTTTCAATTAAATGCATTATTCTTCATGGTTTACTTTTAAAAATGTTTTAGGAAGCAGAGAGTCCTGAAAGATCTCGGAATTCAAAACATAGTCGTTGGAACTAGACAATAATATTAAAGAATATTAATTTCTCATACTAAAATAAATGAGCTAGAGATCAGTTTTTATAAAAATAGGTATAAATAACGACATATTAAGGAAACGATTTATCGTATTATAAATGATCATAGAAACCCGGAAATTAAAGTACACATTTCTAAAGCTTTAGGTTATTATATCTCGAAGAAGGAAGAAGAAGTTATAAGGTCTCCAATATGGCCAAATCCGGAATTTTTTAATCACAGCCCCAAGACCAGGAGAACCTATCAAAAGCCTATAGTTCCGCTACAAAGCAAGACAGATTTCGAACATTAAACCCCTCGAACATTGAACCATGATTATAGAAGTTTTCAGGCATCCTTTCCCTTACGACATCATTTTCATAGTAGACTTAGTTAAAATCTAATCTCGGTTTGGGTCCTCAGGAAGGGTTACCCAGAGTAAAAAGAACAAAATGCCACCCTGTGTTGTAAAGCGAAATACACTTTTCCTGCGAGTTGGCTTTAGCCTAACTTTAGTATTCAATATCTCGAAAAACTGATGTGATGGCCCTTAAGGAGGCTCCTATAAAGGATACAATTGAATTCCGCGTTAATTATTTACCTGTATGAAGACGTTTATGTTTCTTTAGGAAATATTTGGTGGTAAAAGCCTTCGAACAAACATCACATTCCCAAATCTTAGGATTCTCGGTAACATTTATCATAGCCGAGGTGATCTTTGCAGGCATATCCTTATCTGTATTAGTAGTTGAAGGCATTAAAGCAGTAGTAGCGTTATTATTGTTGTTGTTATTGTTGACATTATTAGAAATTGAATTTAAATTTTGTGACAATTCCGCAGAAGCCGAAGAATTGAAAACTAATAAAACATTTGGAGCTGGTAAAGATGAATTATCCAAGTTGTTGGAGGGAAATTCTAACGACTGATTTAAATTCACCACACTGACATTTGAGCTAACTGGTAATGAGTTTAGATTGGATATAAAGTTAACGGGTTGTATATTAAATAGAGTATTATTGTTGTTAGTGGTTTTAAAGTTGTTGTTGGGTGAAATGGTATTAACATTTTCATTTTGTAACTGTGGGTTTGCATTACAGTTATTCGCAGTTTTTAAGGTTTTATTTTCTTTATGACGTATACGATCACATATGGTTAATTTTGGAGAATTATTAACATAGGGTAAACCCATTAGATGAACCACTTTTAAATGTACTCTTAAAGAACCTTTCATTTTAAAAGTTTTAGCACATAAATGACATTTGAAATCATGTTCTGGACATGAATTTTGACAATTATTTAAAGGTGAACTGGAGGGTGTTAAAGTGTTGTTGTTTGGTTGCGAATGACATTCAAAATTTTGATGCACCAAACGTATGTGCATGTTTCTTAATTCTTCATTGCGAAAGGTAAATTCACAAATATCACATTGAGCTAAATTATCAAGTTCCTTTGATTCCTCTCCCTCCTCATCCCCCTCATTTCTTTTATTTGAAACTACTTGTTGATGTTGTTGTGTTATAAACGATTTGTTTACAATTTTCTTGTCTGCTTTGCTGACAACTTTTGGCTTTTTGATCATGTTTTTCTCTTCGCTGAGATTGTGGTGAGTTTCATCAAAACTCACCAGCTCATCTTTTAAATGAATTTGTTTTATTTTAGTCTCATTGCAATTGCTGCTATTGTTGTTTTCTTGATTTAAATTCATTTCATTTTCATTTTGGCTTTTTAATTTTTCAATATTTTTCATATTTTGACAGTTGTCAGTTGTTGTTGGCGATTTTATTGTCGTTGGTGGTGGTGGTGTGATGGTGGCGGTAGTAGTATTGTTGGCAGAATTCATTATATTCGTATGACTAAACAAGTGTATTGTCAATTTATCCAAACCCAAAAACAATTCATGACATATGGGACATGCCAACGGCCCATTAGCGGCCTTAATCAGACTACAACGCAGAGCGTCTATACTCGAAAAGCTTGTTTGGGCGCATAATGGACATAGCACTGACATTGAACACATTTTGTTTTCTGATTTTTGCGTTTGTTTTTGTAATTTAGACAATTTTATTTTATTAAAAACAATTAAATTTTAATACTATGTATTTTAAAAAATTTCTTTCAATTTATATTTATAAATTATATAATTTCAATATTTAATAAATCATTTAGGAAATTTATATTTAAAAACATATTTTTTTATTTCAATTTATTCTATTTCCATTTTTAATAATTTAAATTTCTTTATTTTTCCTTTAACACTTTTTTTAGTTTTCAATTTTAAAATGCTTATTAAACCAATATTTATATTAATTATATTAAAATTTTTTAAATATCACTGAAATTTATTTGAAAATTTTCTTTTAAAAGTTCACGTTGTTTTCCTTTGAATTTATCTTTAACAAATGAAACAGACGCAAAGTAAAATATTTTATACAAAATTTAAATTTTCTTTTTTATTTTCTAAAAATAATACATATTTGTATATACATATTTCGAATGAAAATTTGGTTTTTCCTACTCATTTCGCTCATTTTATTTACTCTAGCTTTTTTTTCATAGATCTCATTTATTTTGGTAAAATTTTCTATTACTTTTTTTGTTGTGTTCTTTAGGTCTCAACGATTTTTCTTTTATTTTCCTAATGTTTTTCATTGCGTATTTTGCAGTTTATAGTATTGAGTTTTTGTTTTGAAATTATTTTTGTAAACAAAATTTTCTTTACAATTCTCTATATTCTATTTAGTTTCTTTAAATTGTTTGGGTCAATTAATTTGGTTTTTTTTTTTATTCACCTCTCTTTTACATATTCTCAAAATTTATTATATTGTTTATTCTGTGAACATGTTTTTCCCAATTTTTGTGTTTTTTGTCTGAGTTAAAGTTTAATCATTCCTTTATGAGATCATAAAAATTTATTAATATTTGTCTTATATTTTATAAAAATTCTACACTTTTTCTTAATGTAATTTTCAATTTTATTTGAGATTTTACTTCTACGAGATAGTAAAACACTATTTAGATTTGTGTAGATATCGGAAAAATAAGTCCCAGATTTGAGATCGTGGACAAGTAGAATATTAGAGAAAATCCTCTGCGGGAATCTGTTGTTAAAAGGTTAGCTTGAAAATCTTGAAATTGAAATATACTACCGACTGGAAGTACGTGCAATCACGGAATGTAGAAAATGAGTTAAATATTAGTACAACATCAGCTGATAAGATTAAATCTTAGACCGTATTGGACAGTAAGAACCCCCGGGGGCATGTTACCTTGATAAATCTTTCCCCATCGTGGTGATATTGCAATCCCGGGAAAAAAAGCTGCTACTGCTAGTCTACCGGGACTATAGACTGGTGATGATCAAATGTATCCTTGGAATGATTTGCCATGGGGTCTAACCAGAGAACCACATAATCTGGTACCATTAGAACCGGTTGCATACAGGGCATAGTTTTGGACTTTGTATTGTTCTGGTGAGATATCCCTTTGGTGGACACGTGGTGGCTTTGGTTTAAACCCAAACTCACGGGAAGAGAATGTTGGTTAAAAGTCTGATGTACGGTAAAGTCTATAGTCGAGATAGACTCGGTGCTGTTGCCGATACAACAGATACTGCACAGAGGAGTAACTGTGTTACTAAGCATTGGAAATGTGTTGGTGTCAAGTGTGTATGATACGGGATGTATGTTTGAGGGCCTCACCCATCCGTATACCTAGAGTGAGTGTGTCGGATGAATGAGAAGTTCGCTGGGTTGAATTGTGATCGATATAAAGTATCTTATACAAGTGATACCATTCAATTTTTCTTCCTCGTCCGGATATGTTCAGGGTTTACTCTATTCGTATCAGATTAACCACAGTGTGTTCTCTGTAGGAACAAGTCATCAGCTTATTTGTTGGATTCGTATTTTGGTCTACAGATTACTCTCTGCATTATATGGGACCCAAGACCTCTGCACCCTTTATGGAATTAACCTGACGAATATTGGAATGGTGCGTAGGACCACTGAAATCCTATTGGCTAACCCCAACGAGAGTAGGACGAGAAGCCTTTTCAGAATGAATAAGTCCAAAGTAAGTATTATTGTTTGAATTCTTAGTGAATACACATGTTTAAGAGCACAATTATACAAAATTGGAGGAACGCCTATAGACGAATGTAGAGCTTGCAGGAAGGTCACTTAAACGCTGGAACACTTTCTTTATAATTGACAGGCTTTAATCGATTGAAAAATTGTGACGAACTACTACCAGAAAAATGAGTTTTTCAATATTGGATGATCGCTATATAAGGTTTCTTCTCCAACATGTTCAAAGAAGAAGAGCGCACAACAGGCCCGATAGCGGCCTTTTTCAGGTTTGATGTCTATGTCAGGTCTATGTAACTCCAACATTTTCCCATATGGAAACGAAAGTGCAGAGAGTGTTCTGCATCGATTAAAATAAATAGAAGTCGGATGGGCAAGGTCTGACTATAGACTAGACTATATAGACTAGACTATAGACTAAACTATAGACTAGACTATAGACTAGACTATAGACTAGACCATAGAGTAGACTATTGACTAGACTATAGTCTAGACTATAGACTAGACTATAGACTAGACTATAGACTAGACTATAGACTAGACTATAGACTAGACTATAGACTAGACTATAGACTAGACTATAGACTAGACTATAGACTAGACTATAGACTAGACTATAGACTAGAATATAGACTAGACTATAGACTAGACTATAGACTAGACTATAGACTAGACTATAGACTAGACTATAGACTAGACTATAGACTAGACTATAGACTAGACTATAGATTAGACTATAGACTAGACTATAGACTAGACTATAGACTAGACTATAGACTAGACTATAGACTAGACTATAGACTAGACTATAGACTAGTCTATAGATTAGACTATAGACTAGACTATAGACTAGACTATAGACTAGTCTATAGACTAGACTATAGACTAGACTATAGACTAGACTATAGACTAGACTATAAACTAGACTATAGACTAGACTATAATCTAGTCTGTAGACCTAGGCTAGGCCATAGACTATATTATAGACAAGACTATAAACTACTATGTGGACTATTTATCAACAATTTATAAGTTAGAAAAAGTACCGAAAATGTTCTGGGGATACCAGATATCAAAAAGTACTAAAGAACTGAATTTTCATGACTTATCGACAGGGTGAATTTATTGAACTTGGGTCAATTTTATATTTGTCCGATAGATAGTGTCGGAGTATAAAATTTAAAACGTCAGGGTTACATACATAGATCACCTATAGGGGAGAAATATTGGTCAAATTTAAAGCGCCGCCGTTCAGCTAGTTGATAATAAACAGAGCTATATAGGTGGTAGAGTCTGTAATAAATCAATAATCACTAGACAGGATTTGGTACAGACCCCCTAATAGAGTTTTTTTTAATGCTTACACCAGACTTATACAAACCTTTGGGTATTCCGTTGCTTCCGAACTTATAATAGAAAAATATGTATATATCTTTTTTTTCAATTTTATATTTTATTTGTTAATTTTTATTTTATTTTTATTATTACTTTTTTATTCATTTAAATTAATTTTTTATCTTTATTTATATGTATGTATAGTTTATGTATATATTTATTATTTTTTATATATTATATGTATGTGTTTTTAATATGTATATAATATTTTTTTTTAAATTTAATTTTATGCACTTTATTTGTTGTTCCATTTTAAAATTTAATAATTAAACTAAAATTATAGTTTTTTTGGGTATTTATTTTTAATAATTAATTGTTTATAGGGTTATAGTTTATTTGTTTTACGATTATGTTTTTGTTTTTAATTTTAATATTATAACTTTAATTCAAAGTTTATTTAGATTATAATTTATTTTTTTATTATTTAATATAGAAAAATATATATGCATTGCATTAGAATTATAATATAACATACACTTATACACAGAAAATATTTAAAATTAATTACATAAAAATGAATATTTAACACAGTTAAGGGTAATTGCAAATTAACAAAATTATTTTAAAAATAATGATTTAATTAATTTAAAATATAATTACATATTTTTGTGGTTAAAATTTTTATTTAAAAGAAGTTTTAGAAAAATTATTTATTTAAGTTAATATTTAGTTGCTTTACGACATGTTTCATGAAACTATTCAATTATAATTTTATTATTACTATTTTATTTAAATTTTAGTTTAAAATTTAATTTATATTGTTTTAATATTAATTACTCGTTTAACTCTATATTTGATTAGTTTTTTTTTTCATTATTTTTGTTTAATCTTTTTTTTAAGAAAATTTTAAAATTATTAAAGATGTTGTTGCAAATCTTTGATAATTTTAAAATTTTATTTTGTATATTGTTTGTATATTTCACATTTCAGTACATTTATTAAATACAATTAAGTATTAATTGGAATTTATAGATTTTTAGCAAATTTTATATTCTATCAATAAGTTGTATTGAACACGAACATATTTTTGTATAATTTGTGCAAAATTTGCTTAAGATTTCAATAGTTAACTAAAGTGTTTTTAAAATGTTAAGCAAAAAATTAAATTTTTTTTGATATTTTAAATAATTCGTAAAGAATATCGGGGGCCGACTATAATGAAAATAGAAACATTTTAAACTTTAACCATATAAACCTTGTAATCAAACTAGAGGTAGCAATTTTGATAAGACTTCTAGCGTTAAGTTCAAGTTCCGCTATATCTTTGTATATCCTGCTTAATCCGCTATATAAGTATCTGGTATTTAATTTCTCTGAAAGTCTAGTTTCTACCGATCTTGATCATTATATACATACATAATCAATCAATAAGGCCTACTCAAGAACTAACATTAATTACAAATATTAATATCGCATAGATGTTCGCTACAAATACATATTTAACTCCTCTAAATCCAAATCCAATTGGGAATTACTCTATCAGATCCGTCATACATTTCGTCTTCGTTTCACTTTCTTCAAATTGCTATTCAAAAAAAAAAAAAATAAAACTAAAACAATTTGTTCGGATCGGTCTATATCTGGATATTCTCTTAAACATTAGTAATCAGACAACATTTGACTCCTTATTAGATTCTAAGACAATCTAGCCTTGTCCGGCTGTCTGTTTAAAACAATATAGAGACCGAACGGAATGAACTATCTTTACCAAATTTTATGAGGATTGGTCTATAATTGGCCCTATCCCCATATAAACTTTAAAGTGATATCATTCTAAAAAGTTAATTTCATAATTTTAAGAAGGAAAATACTGAAAAAATTTCACTATCGATCAGAATAGAATACTGTGAATGTGGGTATATCTCAATTCGAAGACGAAAATGTTGGAATTACTCGCCCCTATTCTGCAATGCGATTAAGTTTTCGCATTCAGTTACGCTAAAATCGAAAATCGATATTCCAACAAAAAACGGAATCGTAAGAAGAAGAAGCAATTCCATATTAAGTATTTTAATGCATTACGATTGTGCGTATTCTGCATTACGATCGTAACTACGTTTTTATAAGTTGTTATTTTAGTGACGGAGCTTCGAATCGAAATGCAGAATACCAAAGTTGCCAAACGGAGAAAATTTCGATTCGAATTGAAATGCAGAATAGGGTGACTGTAAAAGTCCACTGTATTTAGAAAGCTTTTTGTATCGAAATATAAAATCGAAATATAGAATTATTTTTTATTTCAATTTGAATAAAATTTTTCTCAGTTTTGCAACTTTGGTATTCTGAATTCCGATTCGACTCTCTGTTATTCTGATCATATTGCTTCTTTTTTTCTTATTCTTATTCTTACTGTTCAGTTTTCTGTTGGAATACCTTTTTTCGATCGTTGCGTAAATGCTCGATGCCGAATGCGATAAACTATTCTATAGTTAGTCTATTGTCTAGTCTATAGTTTAGTATATAGGCTAGCCTATAGAATAGACTATAGACTGTATTATAGACTAGCCTATAGACTAGACTGTAGACCAGTCTATTGTCAAGTCTATAGTCTAGTCTATAGTCTAGTCTATTGTCTAGTCTATAGTCTAGTATATTGTCTAGTCTACAGTATAATATATAGTCTAGTAGATAGTCTATTCTATGGTTTATTTTATTGCCTATTGTCTAGTCTATAGTCTAGTTTATTGTCTAGTCTATAGTCTAGTCTATAGTGTAGCCTATAGTCTAGTCTATAGTCTATTCTATAGCCTAGTCTATTGTCTATAGTGTAGTCTAGTTTATTGTCTATAGTTTAGTCTATTCTATAGTATAATCTATAGTCAATTCTATAGTCTAGTCTATTGTCTTGTCTATAGTCTGGTCTGCAGTCTAGCCTGCAGTCTATTATATAGTTTAATCTATAGTCCAGTCTATCGCCTAGTCTATTGTCTAGTCTATAGTCGAATCTATTGTCGAATCTAAAGTCTTGTTTATAGTTATGTTTATAATCTAATCTATAGTCTAGTATATAGTCTAGTCTAGTGTGTAGTCTAATCTATTGTCTAGTCTGTAGTCTAATCTACAGTCCAATGTATAGTCTAGTCTATAGTCGAATATATAGTCGAATCTATAATCTAATCTATAGTCTAGTCTATAGTCGAGTATATAGTCTAGTATAGAGTATAATCTAATCTATTGTCTAGTCTGTAGTCTAATCTACAGTCCAATCTATAGTGTAGTCTATAGTCGAAGCTATAGTCTATTGTCTAGTCTATAGTCTAGTCTATAGTCTAGTCTATAGTCTAGTCTATAGTCTAGTCTATAGTCTAGTCTATAGTCTAGTCTATAGTCTAGTCTATAGTCTAGTCTATGGTCTAGTCTATAGTCTAGTCTATAGTCTAGTTTATAGTCTAGTCTATAGTCTAGTCTATAGTCTAGTCTATAGTCTAGTCTATAGTCTAGTCTATAGTCTAGTCTATAGTCTAGTCTATAGTCTAGTCTATAGTCTAGTCTATAGTCTAGTCTATAGTCTAGTCTATAGTCTAGTCTAGTCTAGTCTATAGTCTAGTCTATAGTCTAGTCTATAGTCTAGTCTATAGTCTAGTCTATAGTCTAGTCTAGTCTATTGTCTAGTCTATAGTCTAGTCTATAGTCTATTGTCTATTCCATAGTCTGGTCTATAGTTTGGTGTATAGCCTAGTCTTTAGTGTAGTATATAATCTGGTATATAGTCTAGTCTAAAGTCAGTCTATAGTTTCCATTTTGAAATCTAATAGATTTTAGCTTAATTTCGATATTGAAATGTGTATTCATACGAAAGTTTACTCATATCATATACGTGGTAATTCGTCCCAAAGGAATTTAGCAATAGGAGAAAAGATTTAGACTCATTAAAGATTTCACAAATCTTCAGGATTTTAGCACTTTTTTCGACTGATTTTAAGAGTCATAATGTTCTACTTTTATGAAAAGCAGCTCAATACCCCCTTCAAAAAATACATCAAACCATATGACTTGCTTTGAAATAAATAAAAAAATTATTTGAATATTTTTTTTAATAAACACTTTAGTTACTTATTGTAATAATTATGTATATAAAGTGGAGGTTTCTTTTTTATTAATTTGTATGTTTATTTTTTAAACTAAACATTAATTAAATTGAAAATAGTATATGAATTTAATAAATTTAAATTAATTAAAAGCGACATAACAAAAAAGAGAAAAAATATTTATATAAAATAAAGTATTAAATAAATCATAAATAAAAATAAAACTTAAAGCGATTAATAATATTTTTTGTAGTATTTTTTTTTTTCAAAGAAATAATTCAAATTATTTTTAATTCACAATTTTTTTAAAAGATTAAAGAAATACAAAAAAAAAATATTACAAAAAAATAATATTTTAAGAAAATATATTAAACGTAAGAACAGCGTATAACAAACGAAATTCAACTATAAAAATTTATTTAAAAAAATTACACAAAAATTAAAGAAATATAATTGAAACATATTAATTATTTAATTAATTACCCTTTTGTTTAAATAATATTTAAATTAGTTTTTAGTCTTATACAAAGGGTGTTTGTTTGTAGTTGATTTGCAATATATTTTTTTTTTTAAATTTTATATTTATTACATAAAGACCATAAAATATATTTTTAAGAGAATATTTAAGGTTTTTCAGTTGTATTTTTATACCTTTACAGAGAATGCTTGAAGTTTGAAAAACAAGCGTTTTATATATATAAAAAAATAAGTCATTTAAACGAAAACTTATTATTCCAGTTCAAAGTTCTAAATTAATTTTAGGTTTTATGCATAAAATTTGTTTACGTTTCTGGTTTTTATTAATTCTATATTAATTAAATGTTTTTTATTCAATTTTATTTCAAGTTTAAGTTTATTTATTAATTATGTGAGTGTGTGTGGGGGGAAAGAGGAGAAATTTAATTAATTATGAATTTCATTTAAATTAGATTTTATATTAATATTTATTTATATATTTTCTTTTGTTTGAATATTTCTTGTTTTTTTGTTTAGCAGTTTGTTTTAATGATTTGTTTTTTTTTTTTCTTTTATATAAATTTGCTCTAACAGCAACATCACCATTTCTTACAAATAATACAATTAGAAAATAAAAATTAAAAAAATAATTATTTAAATCATATAAATTATCACCATTATTTGTTATTATATTTTTTTTCGTATATGTTTTTCCAAATAACTAAACTACCTTTTTTTCTTTAAACTCTACAGCAGAACAAATACATTTGTTTGTTAATTAGTTTATTTGCATGTCTTTAAACAATACTCTTTCTTTCTTTCTTCTATGTGCGCATATTGCTTTTTTCACTTCTTATTTTCGAAATTTAAGACAAATGGAACGACATACTACCCTCATTGGCGGCCATTTTAAGTTTTTGTCTCATCACCTCACGACTCGAATAGTCGGGTAATTTCAAATAGTTAACACATGTCATAACCGAGGGTAAATAATCGTTGGGATTTTGATTGGCATCTAATGTCTTACGTACTATAGTTAGTGGTGGTGTTAGTGACTTAAAACCGCCAGTGGGTAGACGTGGTGAACCCGTAACAAATTGCAAAAATAGACGTTGTTCCTCGCGTGTATACGTTGAAAGTATTTCGTAAAGGAATTGTATGGCTTGAGAATCTTGATTGAAACCGTGATCGGTACGACAGCTATCCTGAAGCATTTTAACGTCCCAACGTTGATAGGTACCGTTGACACTGCCACAGAATACATTCTCCAATTCTTCGGGGTAGAACATGCGTAAACGATGTGTAGGAAAAACTGAATCAAAACCTGAAAAGAGGGAGGGGGAATATTTGGTGAATTGGTGAACAATCTGCATTATTATTTATGAATCCATTTTGGATTCTAAACCTTTGAAAACGTTTTTTTTAGGTTTTTCACTTGTATTTATTCTAGTTCAGTTCTAGTCCAATTCTAATTGTGTCTAGTCAGTTCTAGTTCAGTTTATTTCTAGTTCTGTTCCTAGTTCTAATGGGCTCTGATAGGATTAGTGAATCGAGTGCTAGTTTTAGTAAGGTTTTAGTCAGTCTAGTAAGTTCTAGTTCAGTTGTTCAGTTCTAGTCAGTTCTAGTTCTAGTTCAGTTCTAGTTCAGCTCTAGTTCAGCTCTAGTTAGCTCTAGTAGTGAACTAGTTCTAGTTTTAGGTTTTTATTTATTCTAGTCCAGGTCTATTGTGTTCTAGATCGGTTCTAGTTGAATTCTAGTTCAGTTGTAGTTCAGTTTTAGTTCAGTTCTAGTTCAGTTCTAGTTCAGCTCTAGTTCAGTTATAGTTTTTTAGGGCTTTCACTTGTATTTTAGCTCTAGTTCAGTTCTAGATCAGCTCTAGAAGTGAACTAGTTCTAGTTTTTAGGTTTTTTATTATTCTAGTTCAGTTCTAGTCCAGTTCTAATTGTGTTCTAGATCGGTTCTAGTTCAGTTTTAGTTCAGTTTTAGTTCGGTTCTAGTTCAGTCTAGTTCAGTTCTAGTTCAGTTCTAGTTCAGCTCTAGTTCAGTTATAGTTTTTTTAGGGTTTTCACTTGTATTTAACTCTAGTTCAGTTCTAGATCAGCTCTAGAAGTGAACTAGTTCTAGTTTTTAGGTTTTTTATTTATTCTAGTTCAGTTCTAATTGTGTTCTAGATCGGTTCTAGTTCAGTTTTAGTTCAGTTCTAGTTCAGTTCCAGTTCAGTTCTAGTTCAGTTCTAGTTCAGTTCTAGTTCAGTTCTAGTTCAGTTCTAGTTCAGTTCTAGTTCAGTTCTAGTTCAGTCCTAGTTCAGTTCTAGTTCAGTTCTAGTTCAGTTCTAGTTCAGTTTCAGTTCTAGTTCAGTTCTAGTTCAGTTCTAGTTCAGTTCTAGTTCAGTTCTAGTTCAGTTCTGTTTTAGTTCTGTTCTAGTTCTGTTCTAGTTCTGTTCTAGTTCAGTTCTTGTTCTGTTCTAGTTATGTTCTAGTTCAGTTCTGGTTCAGTTCTAGTTCAGTTCTAGTTCAGTTCTAGTTCAGTTCTAGTTCAGTTCTAGTTCAGTTCTAGTTCAGTTCTAGTTCAGTTCTAGTTCAGTTCTAGTTCAGTTCTAGTTCAGTTCTAGTTCAGTTCTAGTTCAGTTCTAGTTCAATTCTAGTTCAGTTCTAGTTCAGTTCTAGTTCAGTTCTAGTTCAGTTCTAGTTCAGTTCTAGTTCAGTTCTAGTTCAGTTCTAGTTCAGTTCTAGTTCAGTTCTAGTTCAGTTCTAGTTCAGTTCTAGTTCAGTTCTAGTTCTAGTTCAGTTCTAATTCAGTTCAGTTCTAGTTGAGTTAAATTCCAGTTCAGTTCTAGTTCAGTTCTAATTATGTTCTATTTATCTATCTATCTATCTATCTATCTATCTATCTATCTATCTACCTATTATCTATCTATCTATCTATCTATCTATCTATCTATCTATCTATCTATCTATCTATCTATCTATCTATCTATCTATCTATCTATCTATCTATCTACTATCTATTTATATCTATCTATCTATCTAACTATCTATCTATCTATCTATCTATCTATCTATCTATCTATCTATCTATCTATCTATCTATCTATCTATCTATCTATCTATGTATCTTTGTATGTATCTATCTATCTATGTATGTATCTATCTATCTATCTATCTATCTATCTATCTATCTATCTATCTATCTATCTATCTATCTATCTATCTATCTATCTATCTATCTATCTATCTATCTATCTATCTATCTATCTATCTATCTATCTATCTATCTATCTATCTATCTATCTATCTATCTATCTATCTATCTATCTATCTATCTATCTATCTATCTATCTATCTATCTATCTATCTATCTATCTATCTATCTATCTGTCTATCTATCTATCTATCTATCTATCTATCTATCTATCTATCTATCTATCTATCTATCTATCTATCTATCTATCTATCTATCTATCTATCTTAAAAACCCAATAATTCGACTTACCTTCTTTAAGAGCTTCAAATTGTTTTTGTACACCTTCAACAAGGAACCAATATGTAACTAAACTAATATATTGATGTAAATTATGTACAGTTACTGGAGTATCACGACCGCCACGACACAATTCAATATTGGCATGACCGGGTAAAATAAAATCTAAACCTAAATCGGCTATGGGACAACCATCCAGATCCAAGGATTCAATCTATAAAGCAAAATACAATTAAAGTTTTGTTTCTAAAACAAAAAGGAAAAAACTTTTAAATTACCTTTTCAGTCTTTTCCATAGCATCTAAACTGGTATCGGCTAAAATCATTTCACGTTGATGTACCACATCCTGTAAACGCACCAAAGTGCTTTGCACTTCGGGTGCAACACGTGATAGATCGGCTAAACCCACTGAATGTTCTTCATTTAAAATCCAACGATAGAAGGGTATAGAAAATGGTAAATCCAGCTGAAGAGTGAACAAAAATAGCAGAAGATTAATAAATGTTTTGTAAGACATAATTAAAACATCATTACCATTCTACTATCCATAACGGCCTTGGCCATAAATTTGCCCAAAAACTTAAATTTCGATTTAACTTTCGAGACATGTGGCAATTTTGAAGATTTACCCAATGGCAAGGGGAATAGACCATGAGCCGCATTCACATATGTCACATTTGCTTGGTGAGGAGTGTTATTAACCTGTAAGACAGGTGTGGTGGCGGTAGTCACTGCTATAGGATTATCCAGCAAAGGCATGGAAGGATCTCCACCCGTATGTTGATCTATTAAATCACCCTGCTGTTCGATTAGCATGTCTAAGGCATCTTCACCAGCTTGAGGTGAATGTTGTTGCTGTTGATTATTAATAGAATTATTTGTGGCTACCAAACTGCTGCGTGTTGCTACTCCTAAACTCTCACGATTATTACGACTAGCGTTACGTGTTGAGGCGGTATTTGGACTTGCTGTAGTATTGGTTGTTGTGGTGATATTAGTATCGCCCGATTGTGAATTGGTATCTTGGGATTCGTCTATATGTAAAGTGGCACTAGTAGATTTGACCACATCTACTATATTGGCAGAGTTTTGTTTGTAACTATCGCTACCATTCCAAAGACCCAAATCGCTGCGTTGTAATTCAGCTGAAACTAAAGCGTAGAATTCTAAAGTTGGACCCAAACCAGTGCCCACCTATAAAGGAAAAGAAGATAAATACCATACAAAATATGTTTTGTAAAGGAATTTTCCTTCAAAAACTCACCTCATTTTCATATTGTATCTCCAACAAAGCCTTGGAGTGACCAAAATCTTGTATAAGATGTTCAGCTTGTTTCAAAATCTCCTGACGCGAAATGGCCCGCTTGCGGCGATCTAAGCGTGGAGCCACTCTTTCCGATGATTCGGCGGAATTTAGATCAGGTGTTGTATCCAAAAGACGCTGTAAAGCACGATCTCTATCGAAGCTAGTGGCATAGAAGAGCAAATGTCTGGTCTCGAAAGGAAACAAGAAGGGACAGGCCATACCAATTTGTGGCAACCATTGTGGCAGATTACCGGTCATTATAACCAAAGGATCTTGTAGTTGACGATTGGCTTTAGCCGTTATTTTCGGATGAATAAATTCAGACTGTGGGATAATCGATTGACGGTGTACACAACCGTACAAATGCTCCCAGTGACGATTCAAAGCATTGATTATGCGCAACATACAGAGGGCATCGAGTGAAGCATCTTGTACGCTAGTAACCACATCGGCGGGCAGTGTATTAGTGAGGAATGGTTTTAAGAGCAGACACCACAGCGGGTGCAATACCTTCGTGCCATAATTCCGTTTTCTTGCGCAACAATTTTGAAGAGGATTTATTTGATTTCTTTCCCACAGAGGTGGAGGGACCACCAGTGGTAGAACTCGAAGCAGCCATAGCACCATTGTGTATAGAGGATGAAGTACCAGCTCCTGGTATATTTGATTTATTATTGATACTACTGCTAGAGGTGGCAGCCACGGGTTCTTCTTCTACCGGACGATAATAGATGGTGTGTTGTTGTACCCATATGCTGGCATTGCCTAAAAAATAAACAAAGTAAAAAAGCATTAAAAAGGTTAAATCTTCCATGTTTAACAAAAATATACCTAATGGTGTCTCAGTATCAGTGTCTGTTTCCGATTGATCATTGACCAAAGGCGAGAATTGCTTCACCGCTTGATAAACGGTCATGTTGTAGGGTAAGACATGTTCTCCTATTAGAAATTGTAACTTGTGCTTAAAGCCACTTTGTGACATAACCACAGCGGCCACATTATCATCCATATCTTCTTCGGAATCATCATCGGAGTCGCCACGTATGCCACCAAAGCCACGCACCACCAAATAACGTTCAATGGCCTGTACCATAGCTAAGGGATCGATTTTAACGGTGCCACCTTTCCATTGGCGTAAATTATTGCAATCCGGATGACGTTGTAAATTACACTGTTAACACACACACACACAAACATAATTTAATTAATAATTATACTTTCAAAAAAAAAATTAGTAAATATTTACTCACCTTTAGTTGATGGGTATTAAAGAATTTCAAAGCACTTGTATTCGAACGACCTCCACCGGGTCCAGCGGGGAAGTCATGTACTTTAACCGGGAATTGTTCCAGTTGTGTAACACAGGCATTTAATTTCGATACAAAGGCGCCAAAGGCCGAAGCATCTATGTTGGGTAAAATGCCCACCTTAACCATGGGTTCTAGCGGTAAACCGGCAAATACATGCATAAATGCTCTTAATCTGGCATCACGTTCCACTATGCCCTCTTCGGCGGTCATAAAGTTAAGCATGGCTTTAATAAGACCCGAATGATTAACTTCAAACGGTGAAATGTCACTTTCCAACAGAATGGCCTTCAATTCAAGTAAAGCCTCCAAGACATCTGAAAAACTACCATTCAATTTGCTTATAACTGTCGTCAGACGCTGCAGGACATTTGTCGAGGCTGAACCGTCAGCCGTAGCACCCGGCTTGGTGTCTTGTGCAGCATAGCGCTTGATAAACGAAATGGCTTGTTCGCGTATCCATTGGCGGGCTTTTTCACGATTACCAGCTGCTATAAGATTAGCTTGTGATATACTTTTGCTGATATTTTGTGCAGCCAATGAGGAACAACCGGCCATAGAGTGACCTGCACTGGAACCGGCGCTACTATTTGGATGGCTGTGATTATGATGTGATGATGTTGTACTACTGCTGCTGGTAGAATCTTTGGTAAAACCTGAGTTACTGGCTGCTGAAGACGAACTATGATGAGATCCTTGACGTCCCCATCTAGCCGGATTGAGGGAGGCCAAAAACGACGAAGTCTTCGAAGACTGTTGTCCGGACGAAGAACTGTGATGGCCACCACTAAAACGTACCTTTGAAGAAGTACTAGGTGTACTGCGACCTGCCGAACCCGAACCAGTTGATCCTCCTCCCAAACTAGTAGCTCTGCTAAGCAACTCATGCACTGTGGACGATGATGAAGCAGCCTGTGCATTGGACGTTGAAGTGGACGAGGAGGTTTGATCTTCTTGTCGAGATTTCGAACGGGTGGTAGATTGTGATTTTCTTTTCGGTGGGACCTTACGTTTAAGCATATCACTCATTTTATTTTGTAGTGCTGATGACGACGAGGATGAAGCGCCTCCACTAGTCGAAGAAGTGCCGGGCGTTGTGTTAACGTTTTGTTGTCCTTGTGCGGACGCTGACGAAGAAGGCATTGAATGATACTGCTGTTGTTGTGCTCCAGATGCAGTTGCGTAATGTGTTGAGGGCGGTGGTGGTGGTGGTAACTGATTGTAGGCTACATACTCTGTACCAGGCGGTGGCAAGGGTGGTTGTTGTTGTTGCTGCGGTGATGTAGTGTACACAAAGAAGTTTTGTTGCTGCTGTTGTGGATTTCCCATGTGGGTGTGGGCTGGTGCCGATGAACTGTAGTGATATTGTGGCATCTCATTGTTGGGATTTTGTGCCGCTGACGATCCGCCTGAGGTATTAATATTCATGGCCATTGATGTGGGTAATTTTTGTGAATTACTGGATGAACCGGAGGGCGAGGTGCCCTGTTGTGCTGCTGCCGCTGTCAGAGCATTCATGGCATGTGAGAATGTCTTCATGGTATAGGGATGTTGGTGATGTGGCTTTGAGGTATTTGGAGTACCCGAAGCTGAGGTACTGCCCGGTTGTGGTGGTACATTATCCATAAAGAATGGATTAACCTGTAAACTTGAAGCCGAAGCTGGTGCACTTTGTGAACCACTGGCAGACATGTTCGTGGCCAACGGTTTGGGCGAAGGATTAGCACATATTGGATGATTGGGATCGGTCAGTTGGGTGATTTGATAGATAACACCCTCGCGTCTGAAGTGGGTGCCAAATATTTCGGGCAACTTTTGCATAAGAATTTCAGCCATTTGCAGAGCACCCACCACTATACGCAAATCATTGCTACCCAGCATGCCGGCAATGTGACTGGAGACCAATTGGTATTTCAAAACATCACTTAACAATTCCGAGGAGGCATAGTAAACCATGCGTAGTAGGGCTCTTAAGCATTTGTAACGTACATTAGGTCCTGCCGAAGAACTGTAGACCTCATATAAGACATTGAAAAGATTTTTAATAAATTCAGCAGCCAAACCACGTTCCTCTTTCAGACAAGCAATGCGGGCATCTACCGAAGCCCGGCGTTTTTGTGAACCCGAGGGTGTAGAGCCGCCAGTAGCTGTGGCCGTTACCGTGGTGCTTAAGGCCGTAATAGCTGAAGCCACTGCTGAAGCTGACAAATCCTGACCCGTTGCCGCATTAGTGTTTGCTGTAGGTCGATAGTTGGGATTTATTTTCCTCTGTACGGGTCTATTGGTGCCAGTATCTTCATTAATCTGCTGCATAGAGTGGAAATCCACTGTATACGTTCTACCTAAAGTACTTAAACTGAATTCATCTTCCGAATTCACATGAGCCGCCTCAATCATACGCGAATCTATGGTGGAATAGTTGTGCCAAGTTCCTCTATCATCACGCCATTGCCATTGCACTTGATCTTGGGTATTTATAGTGGGACGATCGAGTAAAGCATCCACCACAAATATACCATCTGTGGGCAAACGTGGCATAAGTTCACCTATCAAACAAGTAATTTCATATAATTCCGAAGGAGATCGCGATATAAGCTCCACGTGGGTGGAAGCTGATTTAGGTAGAGGATCAGCATTTCCAGTTAATAAATACAATAAAGTCGAGGCAATATCACTTTTCAATAAAGAAATGGCCAAATCAGGGCAGTTGGCACACATTAAACTCAGCATGCGCACTACAGCGGTAAAGGTGCCAGAATTTAATAAGGCTGGTGTAACCACCAATAACTGTTGGCAGTTCTTTAGCAATTCCTTGCTAGCTATTTCCTGCAAACGTTTGGGATCATGTTGGAAACTCTCCACCAAACGACAGAAGGCCGAGCAAACACTCTCTACACATTTCTTATCCTGTTGGGCCAATAGACGCGCTAGCAACGGCAAACTTTCCGAAACAAAATGGAATTCTTCATTGTGTAGATTCAAACAACAATTGGCTGTTATAGCTAAAGCTGCGCGTTGTGCATTAATGGAGAAGAAATCCAAATAGGTTAAACAAGCCGATACACCATTAGCCTGTAATATGGCTTTATTATGACGTCTGGACAATATTTCCAAAGCGGTTAAACTCTGCTCGGCCACATCCATACACTGGATAACTTGTAGTTTTTCCAAAAACACTGGCACAGCATCCACCACCGTACCCGATGAACGTGGCAATGCCTCCAGCATATAGGCCAAAGCACGACAGGCATTATTCATAATATCGAAATTGTGTTCCATACGCAATAGGGTGATTAAGGCTGGCACCACCTGTTTAATGGGGAAACCGGCTAAGGTATCCTCATTGCCCATAACCAACATTTGGCACATTTCAATGGCCGCCTGTAGCTGTTGACTCTCATCGTGTGACTGTAGGCCCTGCAACAATTGTTGGGCCTTTGATGTTGAACTATTGCCTATAGTACGATGGAGTATGTGAGTCATACGTGGTCCCAGGGCGCCGAAAAGATGAGGCGGTAAACCTCGGGCTTCAAGCAACGCTTGCAAACGTCCCACCTCGCTGTCATCACTTTCCGAATCACCATGTGAGTTACTATTCGTGTTATTTGAAGACGTCGTTGTAGCGGTGTTATTGGGACCTCCTGCTCCGCTATTCGCAGCCGCTGCCGGATTGACGTTCGCACCGGTTGCTGTAGCGGAGTTATTGGTATTTGAAGACGTTGTGCTGCCCAAGGCGTTAGCAACGGATAACGATGCTGAAAGTGAAAATAAGAAGAAAACTAAATTAGTACAATTTATAAAAAGAATATGTTTTATAAAAACATTTACATTTGGTAGTTGTTTTTTTTTTATTATTATTTAAGAGCCCCTTCACCAAGTCATTTCAAATTTGTTTTTGGGGGAAAACGGGTATAACTTTTTTACTACTTTTTATGTTTTTGAAAAAATTACGCTTATTTCTTGCAAACTTTAAAAACTTTCAAATTTTGAGTTTTTTTGTATAACTAATTGCTGCATACTTTTAAATTTCTATTGTATTCGAAAAAGAATCATTCGGGTGATCGGTGTTGCAGATTAGGTAAAGACAGACTGTACGACAAGAAAAAAAATTCTTTTCGTAGACCAATTAAGCCTAAAAGCTCTCTTTGTGTTGATTGTAAGAAATATTTCTAGAAACTTAGATCAATAGAAGAATAACAGATGTGATGTGGGATTAAATGAAAAGGAATGGAATATGAAAAGTGTAAAATAAGTCATATACGAGAAAAAACGAGGAATAATATCAAGTGATGTACTTTAATGAAAATTATAGAAATTGATTCAAAATCCAATTTGATAAGGTTATGAGTTTGATAGTTCGTCAAGAGTATTATTAGAAAATACCATTGTCCCAAAATTGGAACACGCAAATTTCTCAGAGCTGGACAAGTACATAGAATATGCGTTATGTTTTTTTCAAACCTTCAGTCACAAAATGCAGATTTAAAAGATGTATGCCACGTGCGTCCATGCAAGTGGTTTTACCATATGTCCTGAATAATGTTAAAGCAAGTATTTGAGATATAACGTTGGAAGGGATGAATGGAAAACTTCGTAGAAAGGATCAATGTCATCTTTCAACATAGAGTCTTCCTTAGTAAGTTCATCAGCAATACTGTAACCTAGAACTTGCCATATCATTTAGGGACATTCTCGCATCATTTTGGATGTGGTATACATACATAGCCGACAGGCTATCTTTAAAGATTCGATGTTCCTACCAGATATTCAATACAACCAAAGCCAATTCGCAGTCTAAAACAGACTTCGATTTCACCTACTTTAGATGTATCTGTTTAGATATAGGTTTCAGCAGTGGAATTTCAGATTAAGGATTTCTTGTCACATCGTTGGAAGTTTTTTTGCCGGGAGTTATCTTGAAACGCCTGGTTTAGTTTTTTTTTACGTTGAAATTCTTATTTGAGTATTACAGAGTAGATATTAGGTCTCCTGAACCGTTCTTCCAGATAAACTTTGGTTTAATTATATTGAAAAACTCGACACATGAAGAAAGTCCTCTTTCTCCTAGTCTTTCCACGAATACAGGAGGTTCTAAACGGGGAGAACGAGTAGCAGTGGTATCTTCGTTCCAAAAATCGGCATAAAAATAACTCTATTTAGGATTCAGAATGACTCTAGTCCTCTTCAAGTCGAAGTATCGGCCATATGAATAGTAGTTATAATTAAATTAGAGATATTCACATGATAACGACATTCAACAGTCGTTCTCATGTGGATTTTAGGACTCACATATTCAATAGGCAACTGCGTAGCAGATGAGTTAAAGAAAATAGAAACTTCAGCGGAATTCAGTTTAAGAGATATATCATGTAACGTACAAGTTGTCAACACGAAGAGGGAGTGGAATTAATATGTCATCTTCTTAGCCACTGTCCAGCTCCAAGAGACATTCATTTTAAATTATTAGATCCTTTGACGTTCTGTCAGAGTTACTCGTTAAAATCAAGTGGTTCTATGAAATTACCTTTCAGACATATGATGATCTCAGGTTAAGCATACTTATAAGCTTTTGCAGAGAGCTGATAAGAATGATAGTATTATCAGTAATTATTGCACCATGTTTCATAGACACTCATGTCAGAATACAATATCTACAGCAGAGAAAGAGTATACCATCTACTCTCTTACTGTCCAACATTTACCGACAATAGAGAGCATCACTTCGGTACATTTGATAAATTAAATCGACTGATTTAATTTTGAAAGCAGAGAGAAATACTCAGCTTATTCTGCTGTGACCAATAGGTAGACCACTCAATAGACTAGAAAATATATTAGTCCACAGTCTAGTCAGTAGAATAGTTCATAAGAAAGCTAATATACTAGACATTCGACAAGTCAATACACTATTCCATAGACTTGCCAAAAACCAGTTAATAGACTATTCCAGAAACTTATCCATTGACTTGTTAATAGACTAGACAATAGACTAGTCTATAGACTAGCCAATAGATTAATCCAGAGATTTGCTCGTGGACTAGATAATAGATTAATCCATAGACTAGTCAATAGACTCCAGTCTAGTCAATATAATATTACATAGACTAATGCATAGACTACTCAATATACTAGTTCATAGATTATTCCACCCATAGCCTTGTCCTTAGACTAGCTAATAGACTATTCCACATATTAATCCGCAGACTAATCAAAATTCTAGTCCACTGACTAGTTAATATGCCAGCTTACAGACTTACTTGTAAACTAGCCAATAGAAATTTAAATTTTCCCTGCCTGGATCCAAGTGAGTTGAATCTAAAGAAACTAAAATGAAATGGATTGATAACAATTCAAAGAAATCAAAAATGATGTGTTACCAAAGTTACAACGCTATGTTGTCAAACAGAAAATTGCTTTGTTGAAATGACAAAGATTCGTTGTCGATATGACAACGATTTGTTGACGAAATCAATGCCGAAATGACACAAAGCTTAATCGAAATGAAAAAATGTCTTGTTGCAATGACAACGATGTGTTGTCAAAATTACAATGGTGGTTGTCAAATGTGATATACACATCCGTTTGTCTAAATGTTAACAAACGTGGTAAGCTCACTTTTGACAACTGATTGTATCAATTTCGTTACTTTTCTATCGGTTCTTTTCCTCTGTGTAAGTCATTGCAAAATTTCTGTTAAGAATACATTTTCCTTAAAGAAATACTGAAACGAAACTTAAGAGTAACTCCAATCGAAAGCCTTTTAATATAAAACAAATTACAAAAAGTGGCTACTTTAAGGTTTCAACAAAATCTAAAGTTAAATAAAAATAAGAACTAAGAATTACTCAAAACTATAAATAATAATATGTTTATACAAAAATTAAAAGAAAACTACAAAATTAATTTGTTTAATTAAAAGAAAAATATAATTAAAATTTAGTGTAAAAAATTATAAAAAATACATATTACAAATATAAATAAATTAACAGTGTGCTGTCACCTTTTTTTGCATTAAAATATAACTGTGGAAAATTAAAAAAAAATGTAATTGATGGTTAAAAAAAATATGAAAAACGCAAAATGTGTGTAAAATGTTTTATGGAAAAAAAAGAAAATAAAATAAGCGAAAACCAATAAATAACGTTGAAGATGTTTAAGGCGATTGATCAATAAGTTCAGTAATTTTTTTGTGGAGGATGAAGAAAGTTTAGAGCAAAAGTTAGAGAGCAGAAAGTGGAGTGTGGGGTTTATGATTTAGTTTTTATGTAGAAAGAAGAAATTACCTGTATTTGAATTTGTAGACCACCAGCAGAAGCAGCTGCTGTTAAATGAGAGTTGGCGAAGTGCTACAGGCTGTGGTGGTAAAGATGGTACTGATCCTGTATTAGGACTGTTGTTGGGCCATTAAATTATAGCTTAAGGCATCCGCAGAAGCTGATATATATATAAATTGGAATTTATATATATATATAGAGAGAGAATTTCATGGAGTAGGAGCAGTAGTAGTAGTAGTAGTTAGCAAAGGACATATGTTTTAACGAATGTGAGCAGAAAAATTTTGTAACGAACAATTTAAACGAGTAGTTAGAACGAGCGAGGCGTAGTTGGTAGAGGAACGTTATAAAAAATATCATGAAAAAAACATAACATGTTTGGAAATTTAATACTGAGTTTTAAAACATTAAACAAAAACAAAATTAGACATGCTTTAAAAAATAAAAAAAAATAATTAACAAAGAAAAAATTACGCTTTTTTTTTTGCTTAAAACTATTTTAGTTTTTATAAATAATTTTCGTAAAAAACTATTTAAAGGAAATGATTAGGATGAGGCCACGTTTAAAAAAACCTTTTTAACCATTTTTGTATGGAAAGTAAGAAAACAAATGGGAAATGTTATCACGGGGTTTCTTTTTTGATAAAAAAAAATTTACTTAAAACCCTAGACCAACACCTGGTTAAAAAAATTTACTTTTTTACAATAAAATATTTGACAAGTTCAAAGGGTATTTAAAAAAGATTATAGCATACTTTAAGGATATTACAAAAAATTAATAGTTTATCCAGCACCTTATAAGATTTACATTCCTAAACTTTATTACAACGACTTTTTGTCAAAATAAGTAAACCTCCAAAACTTGTGCCAAATTTCTTTTTTTTTAACAAATTCGCAAATACTTAAAAACTCCCTTTTGATATTCAAAATAAAACTCCCAACTAAATGTTTCTTTTACGATTATTCAAAACCTAAATCAATTCTAAATCAGAGGGCAGCTCTGCAAAGATAACTTTCGCCAGTTATTTATTACAAAGTGTTGGTGTTTTTTTTTTTTCTTTCTTCGTTGTCTATGGATTTTTTTTCTTGTTTTCACCAAAAAAAAAAGAAAACGTCAACACTTACCACTTGTTTTGTTTGAATTTTGATGCGTAGCCAGATACGAAGTATTTGTGGGGGGCACAACGTTTGTTGCAACAATATTGGTGGTGGCAGTTTGCAGCAGCAGCGGCTCCTGATGTAGAAGATGACGACGACGTTCCCAAGCCACTAGCCGTTGATGCTGAACTATTATTAGCACCCACTGTAGTACGATAACTATAAAGAAAGCCCGGCTGTACAATGGTGGTACGTTGCGGTGGCAAAGCGTGTGGATGAGGTGGTTGAGCGTGTAATAAATGATTTTGCGGTTGTTGTTGCTGTTGCTGCGATATGGCAACAACAACAGCACCGCCAGCTGTAGCTACAGTCTGATGATGCTG